CCCAACAGGAAGTCAATCTCAATGACAGTCATTAGAGCATGGCATAAAAGGCTTTTGGGTGATTCGAAGATCTCTGCTCCACACACACTCCTGAAACACAAGCTTCTACTTGAACCTGGACTAGAGCCAGCTTGACGTGGGGGTGTTTCTTAGAAAATGAAGGAATGTCTCTATCCCTATCTCTCTGTCTCTCGCTCTCTCTCATTTTGGGTGGGCCACATACATACATACATGTATTATTATTAGATTACTTTGCTCGAGGAGGCGCAGGCACTGAGACACATGGCGCAGCTGTGCGCTGTTTATGGGAATATGCCACATGTGCGCAGCGCTCACACACACGCACACATACGCATGCATACATGCAAGCTGTGACAGCCCACGCATACCCTGTCAACATGTAAGCAAATGGAAATCACGCGGCGTTTGCGCTATGTGCATAAAAATAACAGCAGGAAATTAAAAGGATCCATATTGTACGTATATATGTCAGTGTGTGTATGTGTGTGTGCGTATGTTAAGGAATATTGTTAGCCTATTAAGGCTCTTTGGTTAGTTGGTCAACGGAAATTTAATTGTTTTATTTTGCCTCTGTTTCACTATCTTGCTATCTTGCTCTCTCGCTCTTTCTCTTCCGCTCTCTCTCTGTTTCAATCCTTCGAGGCGTGCTGTAGCACCCACTCCAAATTGTTGTTCGCGTACATTTAATATAGTTTATTGCATTTGCTTGAGCTCAGGCCAAATGGCAAGCGACAATCGCGTGCCAGACATACTTGACATACTTCGAAACACAGAAAATACAGAAAATACTTTGGCCCTCGAATTAATTGTTGAAAAAGGATGTCGAGCACTGGAGTGTCCCTGTTGCTTTGTGATTAAAAAGGTATTAGGATGATACGAAATGTATTGTGATACAACAGCTTGATGAACACAATTAAACTGAGTGTCAGCAATATTTGTGAGTGTCCCCCACAAGGAAGTCAGACGCGATTGCGCAATGGAAATTTTGGATCTTTACAGCAATTAACGAAAACCTAAAGCCTATATCAAATGTAAGTCACTGCTCAAAGCTGTGCTTCGATTCTCTGAGCTAGAGCTAATGGATTTTTTACGAGTATTTACATTTAATCAGATTTCTAATTAATCACTCGCCTCTCTGTGCAATTTTCAACTGGTTTACAGATTAACCGATAATAATATTATTTTGCATGAGGGGTTTGTATTCCTTTTTGTAATGTAAAAGAACTTTAATCGTAAAAATAATTAAGCCCAAAAATTATATGTAAAAGTCACACAAAAGGAATCTGAATTAATTAATTTGGGCATATTTATGGACAATCCAGCTCCATTTGTTTATGTAAATAACTTAGTTTCTCCCATATTCTTTTCCCTTTGCAAAAAACTATATAACTATCAAGGCCTTTCTCTGCAGTTCTCATGACGCAATGAGATCGCATCGATTGCAAGGCAATTCCCCTGAGTTAATACGCTTCCCATTCTTAAATTGCGCTCTTAGCCCAACAGCATTACACGCGTTACAAATTGACTCAAACCAAAAACAAATTTCACAATGCGTCGCGATTATAAATTACAAAAAAAAAAACAGAAGAAGAAGAACTTTAAGGCAATTACGCGCCAGCTAAATGAGCGAGAGTGAAGAACTTCTAGGGAGAGAGAGACAGAGAGAGAGAGAGAGAGAGGGAGAAGGAGTGAGTGAGTTAGATATATACATATATGTATATACATACATATATAGAAAGGCAAAGACGTCTGCGACTGCGCGCGCTTTGACTTTTGCACTTGCCTTTTGGCTGGCATTTTGCTGTGTGTTTTAGCTTGAAAAAAGCTAAAAGTAAAATGCGCAAAAAGCAGCAGCAACAACAACAACAACAAGAGCATGAGTGAGGCACGCAAAGCTATAAAAATGCCTTAAATGTCGTTTATGTATCACACGCACACACACACAGATATAGTATATATAGACATACATACTCACATATGTATATATAGATAAATATATCTGTAGCTGTTTGTAAACTGGATGCGTCTTCTGCTGCTGCTGGTCAAGATTTTTTGTAGACAACAAAGCAAAAGCAACAACAGCAGCAAAATACAACAGAACAACCTGTTTATTATTGTTGTTGTCGTTGCTGTTGTTGTCGTTGTTCGTTCGTTCGTTCGTTCGTTCATATTGAGCGAGATACGTCGACGGCGACAGGTTTCTTACGTTTGTTAATGCGGGCCAAAATCTCAGTAATGTGACGGCCAAAACACGCCCTCCCCTCGACCCCCCCTTCGCTGCCTTTCTCTCTCTCTCTCTCTCTAAACTCAGTTGTGTCTTTTCTGCACTCTTCTGGCTTGCTTAAAAGCTTCGAATCGCATTGTTGTTAGCCACTTTTTATTTTGTTCTAAGCTGCTGTGCAAGCGAGATGGCAATACGGCTCTCTCGCAGCGCCGCTCTCCTCTCGCAATCTCTCTGCCCAGTGAGTGGACAAAACCGGTTTTGGCACTTTAAACAAAAAAAACTGCTCACTCGCTTTTGTTCAGCTGGCGTGACGGGTATATTGATTTGTTTACCAGGCATACATACATGTATAGATGATCTGAGATAAACGGCTAATATTATATATTATATATTATATATATGAGTAATACTAGGAATTATTGTTTAATACAGTTCTCTTAACTTTGCTTTTTAATCATGTTTATATATAAGTCGGTTTCAATCTCTTTTGGGTCAAATTTTATTCTCGCCCTCTACAGTGGGACTACCCCAATCTCTTACCTTGTAGAGGGTATCACAGCGGCAACTTCAGAGTTGTGTTGTCAGCAACACTTTGCTTATTAACAACACTCACTGGCTGTCTTTGTTGTTGCTGTTTGCTTGCCGGTCTTTTTATGCAGCGATTCGTTTCGGCTTGGCAAATATATTTTCAGCTCTGCCTTTAGGTTCAACTGTCAAATGCTGAGGCTGATGAATCACCTGTTGTTCGCCGTGAAAATGATTCAACTGCATTAGGGGCTCATCTGCTCGCCCCTGCTGTGGCCCATGCTCCACGTATTGGCTGCAATTTATTGGCCAGGCCAATTGGCTGCTCTACTCTCCAGTCGACTTTCACTGTAATTGAATGCTATTAATTAGCCGCATTACAACTCCTGAGCACTGTAATTATGAATGTATATCTACATTGAAACCTCATTAAGCCAAGCAAAATATGTGGCACAGCCTAAGTGGATTGTTGATTGGATCACCGCCATTTACATATACACATATACACACACACATATATATAGTATATCTATGAGCATTCATTTATCAATTCACTTGTCAGTCTAATGCGTGAGCACTGTGGGTGTGTGTGTGTTTGGCAATGTGAAGTGAATTCTATGGACTAAGTATGGTTTATCGAAAAAGGTCTGAGACAGAGAAAAGTTTAGTTTAATTCCTGTTGCCTGTTTAATGATTATTTACCTTGTTGAGAATCGCATAGAAAGGAGCTTGTTAACCAAAATCTGAATTTTACACTGCTCAAGATCTATGTATATAGCAAGAGGTTTGGTCTATTACAATTCATTAATTGTGTTGTGCAGATAACAAAAACGTGACCCAAATTAAATGGGACTTTACTCGATAAAGATGCTTACTTATTATTTGGAGCAGCATGAATACGGAAAATTGCTAAGCTAAGCACCTATGAGAATTGCATAGAAGGGCGTATCTTGCGCTGTTATGTGATTGTTGTTCTCATAGCTTTATAGTAAACTCGGTTGAATTTAATATTTACGTATTTTAGACATAAGTTTTCTATGAACTATTTGTTATTTATATTTTCGGAATGTTGACGTTACCTACAAATTCCGATTCGACTATTCTTGGTCAAAATTTGAGTTCTACTATATGTAGAATATCAATAAAAAATATCGCACCTTTTCCGTTGTCGCAACTTCCGAGTTCTCAATGTTGAGCCTAAATATTTTCAGGGCTTGTAACAGATATTTAGCTGTTGTTGTTGTTGTTGTCTTGTTGTAAAGGTCGTGTTTGTGTTGGAAACCTGAATAGACAGAATGTGTTAACAAATGATTATAAAAATATTTAGATAAGTGCGACAAGTGAACAAGTTCCACATGCATACATGTGCATGTACCTACATATGTACATATATGTGGGCATACTCACACAGATGTACGTTCTGAGTTCTTGGGCTCGCCCCGAAACAGAATGCCAATAAGAACTTCAGTGTTTGCTTTGCAAACAGGGAAATAAATTGATTAGCCGAACGATGCGTAAAAGGCGCAAAATTTGGAATTGTGATTTGAGTGATGGATCATTAAGTCGATAATCATCAATTAAAATCCGACACGATGACCATTAACAGCCTCGCGCTGAGAAACCTTTCGCCACGAGCTTAACCAAATAAAACCTATGGCAGAACTTAACTTTTCTGACTTTGATTAATTAAAATTGGCGAATAAAATTATGGTCCAAGCATATGACAATAAATTTTCTTATCAAAACTTTGCAATCTTCTTCAGAGAAACTGGTTCACTTAAAAAAAAGCCAGTGAGCGAGATAGAGAGAGGGGGAGATAGAGAGGGTGGAGAGAGGGGGGGGAGAGGAGATGCCGGCTATAGATATATAAATAGAAACACTTAGAAATTAGGTGGAGTAAGAAGCATTTAAATTTATTTTTCTCTAAGCTAAAGCAAATTAAAATTTTTCTCGTTTCTTTTATTTTTGTTGTGCTTTGCTGTTAGTTAATTTTTCCCGTGTTCTTTGCGGTTCAAGGCAAAAAGTCGAACATTTGCAATTGAATTAAAATGAAAATGAAAATTTCATGAGCGCTGAGTTGGGGTACATTGAACCGATATGAAATCAATTGGAAATACTAGTATTTTTTTGGTCTATTTCGAATACGATTCCCAACGAGTTTCGACGCACAAACAAGAAGCGAAGAGGCAAAATCGAGTTTATGCTTAAATTGAAATTGAAAATTTTGCAGCTTTTGTTTGCTGAAGACGCGGGGCGTGGCACGCCATAAAAATGTATTTCGTGCGCAAACAAGTGCGTAAGAAATACTAGAAACAATACCGAAAAATCGAAGCTGGAAGAGCAGCCGAGAAGCGTATATAAAGACGATTCGAAAAACTAGAAGCGGAACCAATTGGACCGCACAGGAAAATCGGATTTTCGTGTTTCGCAAGTTTGGAACAAAAAGGCAGCACAACGGCGACCATCGGCTATCAAATGATGAAACGACGCTGGTCGAACAATGGCGGCTTCCTGCGCATCCACGAGGAGTCCTCCTCGGAGGTGACCTCCTCCAGCAATGGCCTCGTCCTGTCCTCGGGCCTCAGCATGTCGCCGTCGCCACTCGACTCGCCCGACTACGGCGACCAGGGCAGCTGGCTGTGCGGCAACGATGCGGGCCAGCACTATGGCAACACCTTGGGGCATGCCACTGCGCAGCAGCAGAGCGTCATTACGCTGGCCATGCACGGCTGCTCCAGCACGCTGCCTGCCCAGACCACCATAATACCCATCAACAACAACAACAACAACAACAACAGCAACAGCAGCAGCAACAACAACAACAACAATAGCAACAGCAACAATAATAACAATAACAATAACAATAGTAGCAACAATAGCAATGGGTACGTGCCAGGCGCCACGAACCTGGGCTCGCTCACGAATGGGGGTCACATGGTGGGCAGCCTGGTCAGCAGCATGCAGCAACTGCAGCAGAATGGCCACAGTTTGATCAACTCGACCACGCCCACACCGGGCTTGCACATGCAACAGAGCGGCATCAATGGCTCCGGCGGCGGCCCAGCATCAGTCGGCGGCATGTCCTCCATCGGCCTGGGCCTGAGCGCGCTTCATCACACGAACGGCAATTCCAACGGACTCGGCTCGAATCCGGGCAATGGGGCGGCGGTCGGCGTGATGGGCGTGCCCATGGGCATGGCCATGCAGCATACGCCGCGCAGTGACTCCGCGAATTCCATTTCATCAGGTTAGTGGGCTTCCTATACGAATAACTCTAAATAAGCTCGATTAGTTGAGGGTCAAAAAATGATTAAGGAAAGTGCACTCGATGATGGTTGGTCTAAGGTTTCATAGAGGAGGAGATATCTCCTGGTATACCGTGTGAATCTCCAAAATAGACTTGCCTTTTTTATATATGTAGGTATATTATATGATATAATATATTATACCAAGTCTGCTTAAGTATATAATTATTTTTCCGTATGATATATTGTAGTCTACAAAGTAGATACATATGTATGAATATAAAAAATCCTTATTTGATATACTATGAAATATTATTATAATGTATTTATACTTAAAATTATTATTATTAAGATTATACATACAGATATTACTTGATACTATATGTATATTCAGTATGTATTATGCTGTTGGCCTTTGTAGAGTTGGTAAGAGTGCTGTAAAATGCATTTACCAACCCTTTACTCTTGAAATAAATATTCAGTTTATTTTCATCATATCATTTATTCAAATAATATCCCTTATGAAAGTCCATTTTCAGTGTTAAAAAATCTGCTATAAAATAATTAAAGTTATTTTATGCAAGTATTTTATAGAACATAGGATTGTCACTGGATTGACCAAATTGTACTTTACTGATTGTGAGTGTTGGAAAACGCTTTCAGTGCATTTTAATTTAATGAGACGTGACATTAATTTCGGTGCGGACTTTCAGTTTTGTTTAATGATAATGGTTTATAAAGCTTTGCTCTTAATAGATGCTCAAACCACTCCCCTTTCACAACCTTTACCCCTTTGTCGCATTGCTGCACACTGCACTAATTAAATTTAATTGCATTTCTATATGCATATATAGAGGTATATATATTTTATGATGCACTTTTTTACGAGCTGCATTCATTGCTTTTGTTTATGCATACAAACACATACAATATATTGTGTGTGTGTGTGTGTTTGTGTGTGTTGAATACGAACAAGCGAAGTGTAGAGGGAGCACAGAACGAGGGATGGAAAACACCATCAACAGCACTTAAAGACTTTCCAAGCAACAGTGTGCGAGAAAGAGAGAGTGATATGGAGTGACAGATAGGGAGGGGGAGGGTTGTGTGTGAGAGAGCTGGTGCATACATTGGTGTTATTGTTGTTTCGCTTGTGCGTTTGCTTCGCACTTTATCAGCAAGCGTCACGGCGGGCTGCACCACACACTCACATACTTACACACACACACACACGCACAATATGCAGCCATAAGGTGGTGTAACTCGAACCTACCTCAAGCTGTTCTATGTTTAGCAAACAAACGCACTCTCTGAGTCTCCCTGTCACCCTTTTACCCTTTCCCTCTGCCGGCCTTTCGGTCCTTGGCTCTTGGGCTCGTGTCTTTGATCGAACTCCAATCGTTGGTGACGTCAGAGCGTCGAGTGACCTTCGGCAGTCGGGAAAGACGACCTCGTCCACGTCCTCGTCCTGCATTGCATTGGGCGACTGCAGCACTGCAAAAGCGGGTCACCGAGCTCGTGCAGAGCAATTTGCATGCTGCACTGTGACCCAATTTCCAGGGAGGTCAGAGGTCAGGGGCAACTGTTGCTGCTCCAGCTTCCGGATGTGACACAGATTGTCCCTTGTCCGTATTCCGGCCAGCCGACATCCCGTTAGACATTGACCGAGTACCATGTCTGGGTCAGGTCAACTAAGGACTTAGCTTGAAAAAAAAAAAAAAAAAAAACAATTTATGTGAAATTGAAAAGGCCCTGAAACAACTTTAAATGATATGATTCTCTAGAATCCCCATTGCCGACTGATATGAGAACCAGTTAATAAAATGAATAGTGTAAATCTATTTTATTATTCAAAATTGGCTTCAGTTATGAGCAATATATTATTCATTTAGAGTATTCACAAATCACCCTTGCTATCAATTTACAAAAAGAATGATGATCAAGTATGTACATATGTATAACCCAGTGATAAGTATATATCTGCGCAGCCCTTCTCCATTACTGTTTCTAACTCATTTGTAACCATAATTGCTCAATTTGAGTAATAGGTATGGATTTTAATTGGTTTGACTCCAAAGTCTCATCTTATTCAATATATTAAAAATAAAGCAAAATAACATTTGTTTCAATGCGATATTGACCAAGTGTAAGCTGAACTGTTATATTAACAGGACTCAAATGCCGACTAACAATCGTCTGTTGAGTCTGCAAATTCGAAGCTCATTAGTTTTGATTTAACACTCAAATTTTACTCTGGTTCGTCTCATCTCTTTCACTGGCATTCTCTCATTTTACAGTGAGTGAAGTGCAGCTCAAGCAGCTGTGCTGTGCATTGTTATGGTTGTTCGTCCTCTTCTGTTCCGTCTCCGTCGTCGTTTCAAGTGACTTTGAACTCAACTCGTAATTTTTGAGTAAATTTGGGTCACTGGTGCAGCCAAAAAAACCTGAAAAATACCGTTGCTCACTAAAGACCGGAAGGACAAAGCTGTCGAATGTGCATATGACTCTCAATGCTTCGCTCTTTCTCTCTCTCTCTCTCTCTCTCTCTCTCTCTCTTTCTACACAGTTTTACGTGCCATTGCAAGCGTTGTAAACTCAAGTACATGACCTTACCCCTGCAGACAAGCAAATCCAAGCAATGCGATGCTAACGTTGATGGCGACGCCGACGCAGACGCCGACAGCGCAGCTAAGCAACTACCGGTAACGACATCAGCTTCTGCTGCTGCTGCGGCTGCGACGTGTGTGCGTGCTTTTTGCACAATGGTTTTTTGGCCGGCTTTGAGCTTATTATTTGCATTTCTTTTGTTAGATTTCGGGCAAGGGTTTTGCTTTGCTGTTAGGGTGGCAAGCATAATTTTTAGGGTTGCTCTTATTCTGTTGCTGCTACGACGATCCTATAAGTCAAGGACAGCAACAAGCAATGCAAGGCAAAATGTGTACAAATTCAAAAATAAATAAAGCATTCGATTTATATGGCAACTTCAAATTAATGCGATAAACAAAGTACAGAACGATAACAGTAGCAATTGACGCTGCCGTCACAGTCGACGCCAACAGTGTCTGTTGACGGTTTTTAGTCTTGCAGTTACACATACACACACGAGTCACAGAGTTACGAATGTGTGTGTGTGTGTATTCGCATGACGAAAAAAATGAGGTCAATGATTTTGTGCGCCGCCATCGTCAGTTATCGACGTCGCGATCGAGCAGTCGGCCGAAGCGCACTTCGTATGCAAGCACCAAGAATCGAACCCAGCAGCAACAGCAGCAGCACAAACAACAGCTAAAGAGCGTAGCTGCTCTCGCGCTCTCCAGCTCTCCCACAAACGCCAGCAAATTAAAATGGACTCGCGGACTCGCGTGCGCGCTCATATTATTAACAACGCTGCTATTGTTGGTGTTGCTGTTGCCGTTGTAGTTGCTGTTGCTTTTACATGCCGTGCACAAATTTGTATTCATGCTAAAAGCAAACTACATTTTGTCTACTTTGTATGAACAAGATATTTGTTGCTGTTGCAGCGGCGACAGTTGTTGCTGGCTACTTGTAATTACGCCGTCTTTTTCGAACGATTTGACATTGATAAGCTTGCGCCTGACTTTGACTTTAAGTTTGCTTTTGCTAGCTTCTTTTTTTTTTTAATTTTCAGCAAACGATTTGTCATGGCAAAGCAATGCAAACATTGTCATTTTGCATACGAAAAGATTATCAGTTGGCTTGCACTGCTCAAATTACTATAAGATAGATAGTTAACATTATATGTATACAGATGTACATGTGTGCGTAACCTAATCTTATGCATTGAGAAATTGGTTAGACAGCCGAAAAATGCAGGCGGCAACCATTTTGAAAGTTACTCACATGCGTGTGACGTCAGCCTGTGAAAGCTTTGCCAGCACAGCAAATACACATACACGACCATGCCCATATATGCATACATATATCTACACACATGCATATGCATGCTTTTGCATGTTCTTCTGTGTTTGTGCATTCTTAGTATGTTTCTTGCTGCTGTATTTTTGGCTATTTTCGTACACTTGGCATTAATTTTCAATCAAATGAGAAACGCAAAGAAAGCGTCAGCGTCGACAGCGCAGTCGTTGCTTCTGCCGAGAGGCATTTTTTTTCTGCCTCTTGCCTTTAGTCAACGTCAAGTGCATTAGCCGTTGAAGTGGACAGCGATAGCGACTGCGACAGCGATGTCCACATCGCTGTCAGCGTAACTAGTATTAGTTGAGTGAATGTGTGTGTGCGTGTGTGAGTGCATTTAGCGAACACGTTTTTATAGGTTAATGACACAACCGGCTGTATGCGCGCGCGGCCGCAACTAAATACTATTTCATATACTACAATTTAATTAAATTTAGTTTTAAAAACAACGCGCAGCTGCGCTCATAGAAATAAAATAAAAAGTGAAATTGACAGCAGGCTGATTTGCTGATAAAATACAAGCATCACACACACACGCGTACACATACAATCAGAATGTAAATGTTTCTAAGTTTTGCGCCACTGTGGGGCTAAATATAAAATTAAAAATTGAAAAAAAAAAAATGAGAAAAAAAACAGTAAACATATTTAGGCAGCACGCAAACTATGTCAGTAGTGTGTATGCACAAATGCTGTCCATACATACGTATATATGTACATATGTATGTACATATATACATATTTAAGTATTTTTATTAGCCAAAGAGAAAAATAACAACAAGTTGAAATAAAAGTGGCAGGAATTTGTGTTCGAAAGCAAAATGAACAAACAACAAAATAAAATGCTAAGAATACACTTTTTCTTATTAGGCAATAACAGCAAAAAGAGCGAGAGAGCAAGAGTGACCGAGTGAGTGAGAGTGCCGTTGGCTCTCTCTCAGCGCACGCAAGAGCTTTTGTGTTGAGAATGAATGCGCAGACAGACCAACTAACACATAATTTAAGCTCGCTTCGTGTCTTGCGGTAACTGTTTTTTTTTCCCATTGCGGCCTGCATTCTGGGAGAGTCAAAC